TTTAGTTTGATCGTATCATACTGTATTGTAATTTATAAATTTACTAAAAAATCATAATTATTCTAGGGTAAGAGGTTTGACTAGATTTAAAGAATTAAGATAAAGGGTAAAATAATATTTTTTGAAATATTATGTAAATATATAATTGGGAAAAAAAATTAAGTAACAACGGTAACACACAAAATTGGTTATTCCATAAAATAGGGGTTTTCATTATTACGTAACGACGAAATTTAACGATACAATACAATACATTTTAAGTAACAATCAAAACAAACATTGTAGGTATAATAACGATACAATACAATACAACAGGTAACAATGATCCAAACATAGTGTAAATATTAAGTATCAGTGAATATTAATCGTTAATTACTTAACTAAGCCATCATAAGACGAGGTTTTATCTTATACAACTCATAGTTTAACAAATATGATTTATAACTATAAATTCAATTAAATTTACATTAGATTATTATCTAAAGACTAATAGGTATAGGATTTTAATATTTTAAAACTTCGAAAATTATTTAGTAATATGTCGTTATCACTAAATATCTTGTCAAATCGATTCAAAATACAATATATAGTTTTTATATTTAAAGGAACTAAAAAACAAAGAGAAATCTAATGCGTAATGAGAGTAAATTATGTATCACACAATTCAATCAACAAATTAGAATATTAGTGGGCCATTAATTGACTTGAAAATTGCGAAAAATGAATAAAAAAAATAAAATAAGTAAACTCTACATGAAGACCGCCAAATATTATTTTAAATTGTCCAATTTCAAATTCAATCTAGCTGTCTCCTCTATCTAAGAAAAATAAATAATGACAATATTGTCCTTATTACGAGTAGAGAGGTTAATATCGATAGATATTTGATTGAATAATAATATATGTATTTATAAAGAAATGATGAAAATTGAAGAGAAGAAAAAGTACTGACGGTAAAGATAATTAAAGTAAAAGAAGTAATAACAACAATAGAAATGAAGAATAAAATAATGTTAAAATAATAATAATATGAAAACAGAGGGGTGCTCCGAACTAGAACACTACTCTACCCTCGTAAAAGAAAAGAAATGGTCGACCACTTACAAAACGTTTATCATATTTCTTGACCTCGATATATTTCCTTCTAAGAATCATGTTACCGATGAGCGAAATGTGTCATATCCTATCTTTAATCACCTCTTATTCTCTTTAAACTGTTCCACTGGCTCTCAACTCCTCGTTAAGATATTTGTACTCCTTCTTTTCACATATTTGAATCATATCGATCTCGTTTTTCACGTCCGTCCACTAGACTTATCGTACAACTAGATAACTTATATACGCTTTGTGTGGCCAGATATATTCTATCATAATTTTAGTTGATATACAAAGGATACAAAAAAATATAACAGAGTTATCAACCATTGTTTGACATTTTTTCAATTATCATATTCAATTTGCTATCGAGAATTAAATATTTTTGAAAAAGTCAATGAACTTAAAACTTAAATGATGAAAATAACATGTATTTTCAAATTTTAGTTGAAAAGGATTAAAAGCATGAAATTAGGCTATATATATATATATAAAAAAAAAAATATTGTCACCAATTAAAAAATATCAAACTATTTTTTTTTTCTTAAATCAATAGTAGGGGCCAATATAATAACCCTTTCAAAGAAACTAAAGTGGGCCCTCAAAGTTTCCTTTAATGCAAACCAGCCCCATACCAACTTTTTCTTGGTCCACTATATTTTCTTGTTAAGTTTTTCGTAACGAGAAATTTATATGATACCGTTTAAATTTTGATAATTAAAAAAAAATTATTGTGATTTATGTGTTTTCGTTGAAGTTTTTGTGACTTAGTGTTTTAAATATGTATACTATTATTCTAGAAAACTTAAAGATCGTATATTTGAATATACGTTTAAAATTAAAAAAAAGTTAATTTTTAAAAAAATTTAAACTATGTCATATAAATTAAGACGAAAGACTATGTTTTTTAAAGGAATAAATAATGAAAAAAATGAGAAGATAATTCTATCTTTCTAGGAAACTTCCTAGTGACTTGTCAAAAAAGTTTGAAGATGCATTTATTTTTCTTTTGTTTTGTGGGGTTAGAGACTAGATGGTGACATGTTTATGGAATAATAATAATAATAATAATAATAATAATAATATGCAAATTATCATAAGAATTTGTTAAGAAATTAATTTTAATCAATTTGACACAAATATACATAAACTTCACTCATAGTATATAATTTTAACATTTTATTTGACATTTGTTGTTTTGAATTTACTTCAAACACAACATATCTAGAGGTGATCTACCTATAAAAACAATAATTTTATTATAGGTATAAATTAAATACAAATATCAAAATAAGTTACTAACATATAAGTAAGATTTTAAAAATAAATTAATAAACTAATTAACATCCCTCATGAATAGATTCGTCTAAATAACAATTTTCCAACACATCAAAATTAAAATTAAACATGAAAAAATCAATCAAACTGATATATAATATACGTATTGAGATATTTTATTGGAAAATTATGGTGACCAAATGAAAATGACAATCTTTATCTCTATATTTTATTTTAATCGAAAAAATATATTTAGAAACTCTATTCTATAGTTTATTAAATGACCAAAACTTTTATAAGTCATCTTGTCACCATCCTTGCATTTTCTCAAGTAAATTCAAACAAAAAAATAATTAATAAACTATAGTCTAAGTGAATGAGTCAAATTAATATGCTACATTTTTAATGGAAATTTTATGCCTCATATTCATTTGTGAACAATTTAAAGTCAAAATCAATTTGTGTTGTGGCTTACATTGGTCTTCTTCAAACATAAATTAATGTTGGAGAAAAAAATAATTACTAATATATATATATATATATATATATATATATATATATATATGTATATATATATATATATAAAGACCTTTTATATATTTCTTATTTTATATTGTTAGTAATTTAATATTCATGATTTGCACAAGGCAATTGAGTTAATTGTAATTGAGTTAATTGTACTAATGTTTCAAAAAGCAAATAATTTCGATTGGTAATTTTATAAATATTTCGACATCCAAATTCCTGATTTGATATTATATTAAATAATAAAATAAAATCAAGGTATGTAGAAAAAAATAAAAAAATAAAATTCTCTCGATCAAAAAAAAGATTCAAATAATCAATCAACAAAATGCAAGTCAAACTATTAAGATTTCTCGTAATACAAATAAACTCAATTTTAATATATTGATGTAATAGTAACTTTTCTTTTCTTTATTTGGCCTTTAATAGTTAAGCATGCAAAATTAATACTCCTACCGTTCCATTTTACGTAAAAAAAAAAATAAGCTAATTTTTTAAAGAATAATTAGATAAATTTTTTAAAGTCGAATCAAATGTTATCAATTAAAAAAATAAACCTCTTTTACTTTTTCTTTTTTTGCATTGGGATCTGTGAAATATATAATAATAATTTTTTATCATACAACAATTATTACATGAATCTTTCTAAAATGATTCAATGAGAACATAAAAACACAAAAATCATCATCATCATATTTCATTATTTTGTTTCTATTAAAATATAAGTATTCTGTCTTAAATCGTAAAAATTTCATGTTTGAATTTATGATTAAAATTATATTATTTAATTTTTAAAATTCAAACAGTATCATATAATGAGATAAAGTAAATTATACAAATACTTTATTTTCTTCTTTCTTTTCTATAATAATTATTTTCTATTATTATATATCACTTTCAAAAGAAAAAAAGAGGATAAAATATAATTGCTCAAGGTATCCTTTTGTTTCAAGAAAAGCATAAAGTGTTAAAAGAAATGTCCCAAGAAAAATGTAAGCCTCACTTTTAAATTTTTATTCCCCTAAATTTTAAAGCATAAAAAGTCGAGTTAAATCGAAATTTAAAGTTTACGAGTTTAATTTTATCGTTATTTTATTTAAAAAGTTGTGTAAGTTCAAATAAAGTGTTAATTTTTATATATATAAAAAATTTATAATTTCTTTATATCATTAAATAGTTGTAATTGTACCTTTTAAAGTTTAAGCGTGCAAAATTAAAATAATTGCCCTCTAAAACATCTTTATATCCAATTAGATTCTCTTTTGCTTTTTCTTTTAACTTTTATTTGCTTAGGGATCGGTGAAACTTTATATTATATTATAATATAAATGATGATATGATTACATGATTTAGTGAGAACACAAAACATAGATTCTAACCATTTTTGTACGTCTCAAAATAGTTGTCACGTTATTTTTAAGAATCAAGTTTGATTAATCTTTGGAAGTATACTAAATTACATAAATTTAATATTAGTTATAATTCACGTAATTTAGCTCTCGAAAAGTAAAGTACAGATAGAGAAACTCAACCTCACCAATCACCGCCAAAAAGAAAGTCAGACAACTAGTTGAATGTTGGTTTAAAAAAATGCATGGGACATGATGATGAAAAATCACTTTCATTTCTAGGTCAACAATTTGATGCATAAAGCATTTCACGTTCATGTAGAATCAGAAAAGGCTCGCTTCCCAATATTATCATCCTCCCGGTAACCTTCAACCTTCTACGCCCAATAGATGGGTGCTCACCCCTATCACGGGGATAGGGGAAGGTAGTTTCACCATGTAGAATCAGGAGAAGCCGAAGGCTGAAGCTCGAATATTGATATATTCCATTATGAGAAAGGAGGGCGAGAAGTAGATTGTTATACTTTATTAGTACTTTTCTTTGGTCTATCGTAAGCAACCTAGTGAAAATAGATTTCACTCTTTCTATTTACTTAATAAGCAAATCCGCTCCGAGAGAGTCAGTATAGAGTGTATGCAAATTTTACCCTATCATGACAGAAAATTTGTTGACGTTCAATTCGAATAAAGCATATCTAAAATCATGCAAAGAAATATAATAAGGATTAGAGAAAGCATCACATTGCAAATATGAAAATTTCAATAATGCATCAGCAAGTCAATTTTGATATCAACTAGATAAAAATGTGGCTGCATGGCCAGTTTTTGAGTCAACAACAATCAAAAGTTTAGCTACATTTCAAATATAATTCAGAAGTATGTATCTACTTTCTAAAGCCTTGAAAAAATGCAGAAAAATCTATTCGAAATGCTCGAATAACGTTACATGGTTTCTTCAGGCATCTTCGTAAAATAGCATCTGGACGAAAATACCCCTACGTAAAACATGAAACAACTCGAGTAGAACATCTACCGAGCTGCATTTCAAAACTTTAACAAGTGGAACTCCAACACAATGTGGTGTATGTTGTTGTAACTGTCCCAACTTCGACCATATAGACTAGCTATCAACATGCCAAGCTCTAGAAAACAAGCGTACAACTTCGCATGTTTTCACTTGGTTTCCCACCTAGTGTCCAGTACTTGCATTGGAGCTTGACTTGATCAAAGATTCGCCTAGAAAAATCCCACATTGGGGATAAGGCGATCCTTCACCAAAAAAAAAGTCATCAACTTGCACGTTGAATGCTCGTTGGTCACACTAGCGAAAAAATTCAATATGACCAGCAATATCCCTGCACAACATCTTTGACTCACCTGCCAACTTCAAGCTTCTTGAAATGACAAGTCCTGTTTTTTTGTGTGTTGATGTTGGTTTATAGGCTGTGGCACCCTCTTCATTTCCCATTATAAGAGCTTCTCTAGCAGGAACCACATTATCCCACCAAAATTCCCATAAAATTCCATGCATTAACTCCCAGTAACTCCGCTCTCGGTAGACACGGAATATTGCGCTCCCGTTTGGTGTCCAACAATACACATCAACCCAATCTCTGTCCATGATTTCCATTTGCCCTTGCACCTGAGGCATGTAGTAGAATGGCATAGTTGACCACGGGAGGCCCTTTTCTGGTTTACCTTTGTTGTATGGGCATTTTACTTCCAGGATCCCACCTCCAGGCAAGCTTCCAAGAAGACCATCCGGGGAGGCACCAACCCAATCCAATCGCTCATCCGAATGGACTGCGAACCCGAGTGAGCTCACATCACGACCAGTGATGCTTTTATAGCGTTCTATGGCTACTGCTTCCATGAGAACACCCCAATCCATGGCACTCCTGCTAGGAGATGGTAGTAATTGGACTTCTGGAGCAAATACCTTCTCATGCCAAAGCTCATATCGTCGATTTCCTTTCCAGAGTCCTAAAGCAGTGCTGAAGGTGCTTGTAGTTAATTTGTCTTTGCGAAGGGCAAACCACTCCTCAGAACGTTGTGGAGCATCTGATTGGGTTAGGCAGGCCACTGAAACTACTGATGGTGGAGGATAACTGAGAGGAATGCTTGGAGAGATACATGGTGCTGTCAAAGTTGAGAAGTTCCTCAAGAAAACAATGCCATGATAGCTTCTGCCAGGAAATGGGACAGCTGTTTTCTGAATGCTGCTGAATCTCGAAACGCATGCATTGCTCATAGCTAATGGCTAACAGTTCGTGTAGTTTCAATCCTGCAAATCAATAAATATAACCATGAAACACAAGACAGACAACAGCTTGCTTGGCAGAGCAAGTTTAGAATGTATCCAATGATAAAGAAAATTGTTTAAGTCCAGAGACAAGAATTTCCTGAGAGGGCCAAGACAAGTTCATAGAACATTTTTGTGTAAAGGCAGTTAACTTTAGACAATTTTTGGGGGAAATAATGAATAGTTTGATTACTATATGAGAGGGTACATATCTTACGTGTTTTAAGAAGGGAATGACTTGCAAATCGAGACACGTCTTGCTTACAGTCAACTTTGAGAAATATGAACAACTTAATATCTCAAAGAGAACCCTTTCCAGTACATCTTAAGTTGTCATTTGGAATTTGCAATAATTGTATAGTGTAATACATTGTAATATCATTTAAAGGCCTTGGAAATTTGACATTGCAGTTTTGCTGTATACTGGATAAAGCTAGGTTGTACTGCAATTTTATGTTTCTTGAAGACTTTTTTAGCTGGATTAAACGTTATTTCCTCATTCCACTCTTATTGTTTAGTTTTGTTATATTTGGACAAAGTAGTGAAAGCGGAAAAGAGTTACAAATTTTTAAGCAATTTACTGCATAACCCCCACCCCCCTACCCTTTGGGTGAGCACAAGGTAAAAACTCCTCTCCTGTGCAATAGCTTGCAAACCACACAGGAGAAGTAACCCGCACTAGGCAAGCCGGTGCGACGAGCTCAACCCAAGAGGCAAATCCCTTACTTTTGCTGGCAAGGGTTTTGAACTTGAGATCTCCAACATGGAAGTCCCAAGACCAAACCACTGGCCACCCCGAAGGTTGAAATAACCCCTTTTCGTCTTCCTTTTTTCTATCAATTAGGCCTTTCCAGTCTGAAATGAGTTAGTGTGTGCTTTTCCCGATTTCATAACTTTGGGAAATGTTATAGGGAATAAAAAAAATGTTTATCTGGAATCATGTCTTTCAATGTCTCATGGACTCCGACCGTTAAGGTGATGCATAAATTTTGGAGGTGTCTAGATGATCGTTTTGTAAGTTGAAGAGTTTAACTGACACAGTGGAGACAATTGAGGTGTCAAGATGTGCATACTCAAAGTTGAAGTATTCACTTGCCATCTAAGGCCAAGTTTGAGTGTTTGTTTATTATGTATTATGCCTCGTTTTTATCATTACGTGGGGATGAAAACCACAAATATCTTCAACTTCATATAACACACTTGAATGTAACAACTAATTTTCTATCGAATCCCAGAATTAGATATAAATAAAGTTACCTTGTTATTTCAAAATCTAAAGTTTTACAAGTTCCTAAATATCACTCAAGGTGCTTCTGAAAGGACGACTCTACACGAAAAGTCATTGGTGATATATACTAATCAGAATGTTCATTATTACTCAATGGTAGCTCAATTCCTAAACACCTCACTAGTCTTCTATTGGTTACTTGGCATAAGAACTAAATTTTGGCATGTAATAAAATAAGAAAAAGTAACAGTTTAATCTTTCAGTGTATCCCAATCTAAAGGTAAACAAGGAGAAAAAAATAGACGTAACAGATACATTAAACGGAATACGAGCATACTCCTAGTAAATTCCCAAGCAACAAAGCAGTGCAACAAATTAAGATAAACTACAGAGTCATTCTCAAAAACCTATAATTATAGTACACTTTTTAAAACATCCAATGCAACTCTTAATAGCTAGAAGGCTAGGACCAATCAATGATCACGTCATTTAATTTCAATTTTCTTAATATGCTTTAGAGGGTTCGCTTGATACCAAAAACAGAAAAACATCGGGAAATCATAACAATAATAGTGCATATGTCTGATCACCAATATCGACTCAAACAAGTGAACAAGGTACCTTATAGATGAGAATTTTGTAAACTAACTGTCGAAAGGGGAAAAAGAAAAGATAAACAATTATTCTGATGTCTCGGGCATATAGTCAAACACCGTGGGAGAATCAGTGTGCACAACTCCTTGTAACATATCAGAAAATGCATGTACTTGGTACCTATTTCTTTTGGGAGTCTGAAATGTTCCAATTGACTGCTTGGATCATTAGAGTGTACAGATCATAGAGGCCTACCATTCCATCCATAAACCTTTGGTTTTGAGAGAGTGTTGGATAAATGAATTTTCAGACTATATTGAACTGAAACGAATTGAGTGGAAAACCAGCATTTGAGAATCTTAAGAACCTCTCTGATTTTTTGCCTTATCTGTGTGACTTGAAAGTAGCAATTTACAATACTTCGCAGAGAAAAATAGAGAACATCACCACTACCTGTATCCTCTTCTAGTTCCCCAGCATCAAGCAAGCTTTCAAATGGCAATGGATTCTATTTCCTTCTGGAAGCAATAGATTGAATTACAAAGCTGTACTGGTAAAAATTTGCCTGTGTCAAATCTCTAGAATTGGAAGGACGATTGCACTCAATATATTTTCAGCTCGAGTCCTGCATGAAGAAAATTCAAGATTACTACTTAAACAATAGGTGTGTTGCTCTATTTTTAAAAATACTCATGCATGAAACATTAGCCACAAATCGAGAAAACAAATCAGAGAGGGCTTTCTGGTGCACAAGCTCCCGCTATGCCTGGGGTCTAGAGAAGGGCCGGACCACAGGGGTCTGTTGTACCCGGCCTTACCCTGCATTTCTACAAGAAGTTGTTTCCACAACTCAAACCCGTGAACTCCTGGTCACATGTGGCAACTTTACCAGTTACACCAAGGCTCCCCTTCCGAGATAACAAATCAGAGAGCAATCACAAAATTGAAATGAGCTTCTTGTGATAAATCTTCGAGTAGTTTTCCATTCTTTTTTTTAATGCCTTTGCTGGTTTGAGAAATGGATAGAAAAGTGGAGATTTTGTTTTACTGTTCGCAGGAATTCTAAAAAGTTAATATCTTTCCAAAATACTATAAGCTAATTTCACATCCCATCCATTTCCTGAATATTCTCTCATTGCACTTCACTCAGTGAGATCAAGTTAAGCACTAAAAAACAACTTATCCAACTATCACTCAATGCCGTTAGAACTGAAGACAAGTTTTTTTTTATTTAGACAACTGAAGACAAGTTGTTCCATCTCCGGTTTCTCATTCTTCTATCTAAACCTATGATACACCGTGCTTTAGAAGCAAGAACGGAGCTAGAGTGTAGTAGCTTTGGTCCAAATTCCGTATTTTTCTTAGGAACTCCTTGTGTACAATTTATTCATTCAGAACCTAGTATCTTGAAAAAAAAACAAGAATCCCAAAACTGATGAGCCTCAAATACTAGCTCCGCTATAGAAGGCATTTCAACAACAACAACAAAAAAAATACTACTTAATCCCACACAGTGAGGTCTGCAGAGGTAGAGTGTCCCCGGAGCTGAATATGCATTGATATGGTCTCAAAGATTCAAACACACAGAAAAAATAAAACACAAATTCAACTTCCCGACACCATTTTCCAACTTCAAACTTCAAATGCTACTCACATATTTTGAACTTTTCTTCAAGTGAAAACACAATTTCAACTTCCAGACACCACTTCAAACTTTAAAAACAACTCACAAAAGTTGAACTTTTTTCAAACAAATTCAACTTCCAAACACCATTTTTCAACTTCAAACTCCAAATACTACTCACACAATTTGAACTTTTCTTCAAGTGAAAACACAATTTCAACTTCCAAACACCACCTCCAACTTCAAACTTAAATACAACTCAAAAAAATTTGAACTTTTTCCAAACAAATTCAACTCACCATTTTTCAACTTCAAACTCCAAATACTCCTCACAGAATTTGAACTTTTCTTCATGTGAAAACACAATTTCAACTTTCAAACACCACTTCCAACTTCAAACTTTAAATACAACTCACAAAATTTGAACTTCTTTCAAACTAATTCAACTTCCAAACACCATTTTTCAACTTCAAGCAACAAATACCTCTCACAAAATTTGAACTTTTTTTCAACTTTCAACTTCAAACACTACTTCTTTTTTCCCCATTCTCAAATAGCATTACATTCATGTCCAATAATGCATAGAAAAATCAAACACAAACAAACATAACTAGAGAAACTCATGATAAATTTTAGAAAAATAAAAATAAATACAGCAGAGAGGAAAAAAAATTACTAAAAATCCCCAAAACAAGAATTGTTACCTGTGAATAAATGGAAGAGCTTGAGCCTAAGCGAACCAAGGGTTTTGGTGAAACAAAGAAGAAGGTGCAAACATGTAATTTATCCCAATAAATCTCCACCCTTCACTTTTTTATTTATCTCTAAACTTTTAATAGCCTTGTCGAATAATCAAAGTATATTTTTAATTTTTTTTTCATATAAAAAACATTTTTGACTTCTTTAATTATCGTTATTTGAATTTGTTTTTTAAATTGGGAAAATTGTATATAATAGCAAATTAATAACCTAAATTAAATGGAATAGCTAGGGTTTGATTTAATTGTGCTCCATAGCAAACATTAGCTAAAATTTGTCAGTGTCTCTCTCCCAAAAATCTCGCTCGCCACTCTCCATTCTCGCTCGCCTCTCTCGCTTTATACACAAAAGTGTATAATTCTGTTTCTGTTTTGTATAAAGCGAAAGAAAATTGTATATACACATGCAAAAATGTATATCTTCGTGTTATACACTTAATTATACAATTTACAAACATTTTACTTCAAATATTACAGAGAAAAAGGCCAACGAATTATACAATTGCGAATTATACAATTGCAGTGAAATACAATTTTCTCTAGCTTTATACAACAGAAGTGTATATATTGTGTTTCTGTTTTTGTGTAAAGCGAGAAAAACATATATTTTCTTGTTATACACTTATAATTATGCAATATACATACATTTTAATTCGATTCAACTGTATGCAAAACAAATTATACAATTGCAACGAAATAGGCCAGCGAATTATACAATTTAGACCAGCGAATTATACAATTGTATATGTATAGCAAATTATACAGTTTTATGTTTGCTATGGAGCGCAATTATGCAAAGTTTGATATAGCATACAAATATGAATTTTTTGTTTGCTATATGTGAAAGTTGCCCTATTAAATTTCATTATTTTGTGGAAGTTTTTGTATTGCTAAAAATAAAAATAATAAGTGTGGCATGAATAATAAATTTGATAAGAAAATTAGTGAATCATGGATAAATTTGACCATCAAAATAATAAATTTAAATTAGTTGCTGGTAGTGGCGGAGTCATGTTAGAGTAAAGGAATTCATCTGAACCCCCTTCGATAAAAAATATATTATTTACATATGATTAAAATAATTTTATATGTATATATAATAGATGTCAAATCTACCTTGACTACTACGAGTATCTAACTTTTCAAATCTTGAACCCCTTGTTAATTCTGACTCCGCGACTGGTTATTGAAACAAAAAAAGTCGAAAGGAAGTATGTGGGGGGTGGTAGATCAAATATACCCCCGCAGTGATTATATTTTTTTCAAAAAAATAATTAGAAAATTAAATTAAAATTAATTTTTCCACTTCTAACCCACTTCCGTAAGAGGAAAAAGATATGTGTGAGTGAATGACATTAAGAGTATATATCGTCACTTTCAATTTTCATAACGATAAAGTATATCAACTTTAAATGATAAAATTGAGAAATATATCAAACACTTTTTCCTATTATTTATAAACTATTTCATTTAATAAAATTGTATAAGAGTTAAAAAGTTTTAATAACAATAACGCCTTCAATAAAATCGAAGTATAAAAATAAAGTTTACATAAATCATTCTATTACATTATAAAAATAAAAAGATTAGTTTTAATTGGCTGTAAAAACGGTGGAATATATATATATATATATATATATGAAATTTTTTTCCACTGGCATACTAAGAAATAGTAAATAATTTTTATTTTATTTATTCGCTTTTACTATTTCCGTTCACTATTGTCACATTTTTCATACTTTGATTAATATTTTAAGATATAATTTTTCATTATGTTGTTATATAAAAAGTTATGTATAGTATTTTTCGTAAAATATTGAATTAATATAATCTACTTTAACTTAACAAATTAATTAAAATGACTTTCGCCAAAATATAACATGACAAATAAAAAATGACTTACGTTTTAAACATAATTTCAAATTACGAATTTGAATATTCTAAAGTCCAAATTTAATTTGAAGTCTTTTAAGTTATATTTTTCCAATATATTAATGTCTTTCTTTTTTGTGATATGAATAATTAATATAAAACTAACTTGGCAAAACAATTCATATAAGATGTTGCAAGTATAACTTAACAACCTTCAAATTATATATCAAATTAAATTCAACTTAGAATTAATCAAATTTACGATCCTAATTTCAAATTAGAATTAATCAAATTTACGATCATAATTTCAAATTATGTTCAAATTTATGATCATAATTTTAAATTAAAATTAATCAAATTTACGATTATAATTTCAAAATCATGTCCAAACGCGGACCGGATTAAGCCAATGCATATCTTATAAAACTTGTATGGTAGTCCATGTTAGTATAAGCTGTCAGCATTATACCTTCAATTTGTTTGTTCCCAATCAAACGAATTGCACGAGATCCAACGGCCCACACTATGGGAACATCATAGAGCTAAAATTTTGTAGTAATTAATTTGCAAATGGACAATTGATTCAGCTTCCTTTCTTCCCTATATTCCGTTTGACCTTTTCCCCGGATAACAATTTTGTAAAAACGTACAGGAGAAAAGGTCATATATATATGGTTTTTTGATCCAACAATTATTATCAAATTGTTGAATCTTCAGTTCATATTTGAAGGTAAATCTTTAACACCCTTTTGGTTTTTCTTCACTTTTCGAAGAACCCCTTTTGATTTGAATGTAAATTGCTCAGTTTTTGCGACGAATCATTGATGGGTTTGTGGTTATTTTCTTGTTTATGTTGGTTATGGTTAACCCCCAGTAAGTGGGTTGGCGAAAAGATGGAACTTTTAGCTTTTGTCTTGATGGGTTTTTGCTATTTTGGTAGTATTTACTGTAATGGTGCTAAAAGTTGATTCTTGGTTGAGCCAATGGTGTTTAATGATTTGGTATAGCTGAATTGGTCAGTTTTCATGATGGATTTTGGTCATTTTCTTGTTTCTGTTGTTTTTTCGTTAACCATCAGTAAGTGTATTGGCGAAAAGATTTGAGCTTTTTGGAATGTTTAGCTTTTTCTTGATTGGGTTTTGCTAATTTGGCTGTATTAGTTGTAATGATGCTAAAAGTTGATGCTTAGTGGAGCTAATGGTGTTAATGATTTTGTATAGCTGATTTGGTCAGTTTTCATGATGGATTTTGGTCATTTTCTTGTTTCTGTTGGTTTTTAGTTATCCCTGAGTAAGAGTATTGGCGAAAAGATTTAAGCTTTTCTGAATGTTTAGCTTTTGTCTTGATTGGGTTTAGCTAATTTGGCTGTATTAATTGTAATGGTGCTAAAACTTGATGCTTAGTAGAGACAATGACGTTACTGATTTGGTATAGCTGAATTGGTCAGTTTTCATGATGAATCATTGATCGGTTTTTGTCCCTTTCTTGTTTATGTTGCTTTTGGTAACCCCTAGTAAGGCGAAAAGGTTAAAGCTTTCCGGAACGTTTAACTCTTGTCTTAATTGGGTTTTGCTAATTTGCCAGTATTATTTGTAATGGTGCTAAAAGTTGATTTTTAGTAGAGCCAATGGTGTTAATGACTTGGTATAGTTTGGAGCTAGATTGAATTAGTTGCTAAGTTCCTCAGTTTTATATGATGAATCATTGATGGGTTTTCGTCCTTTTCCTGTTGCTATTGGGTTGTAATAAACCCCAGGAATAGTATTGTCATAAAAGATTAAGAATTTCGGAACTTTAAGCTTTTGTTTTAATTGGGTTATTCTTATTTGACAGTTTTAATTGTAATGGTGCTAAAATATGATTATCAGTAGAGCCAGTGGTGTTAATGATTTGGTATAGTTTGGAGGTAGATTGATTTGGGAATTAGCTGCTAATTACTTAGTTTTCATGATGAATCATCAATGGGTTTTCTTCCTGTTACTCAGATCAATTGTCGCTTCTTTGGTCCTTGCAGAAAGAGTTTATAGAACATCTGAAACATCTAACAGAGTAGTAAAGTAAGAGTTTCTTATGATATATCTTAAATATCATGTCATTTATGGTAAATAGGTCCTCAATTTTCCTCTTAACAAAAAAAGAGTTGTCTTAGGCTTATATCACTTATGCGTGGAATATAACAAAGCAACTATGCTTGAATTTCAAACTAATCTTGTTCGGATATATGAATTCTCAATATCATCTTTTAAGAAAGACACCAGAGTGGTCAATTGATTTTGGCTTCAAAGTAAGCCTCTATCTGAAGTGCAAGCTTTTCTAGCCGTATTTGAGAAAAGTAAGCTTTATCTGAATACTCCCAAAAGAAATAGAAGAACCTTTTCTAGCTGTAGAAGTGAAACATTTGAAGACCGTGATACTGATCCTATGAGAACTAGATATACAGGAAATAATCAATGTCAATCATAGTGGACATGAACTCGGCAAAATGATTTGCCTTCCGTTCAAATGCATTTGAGGTCCTGATGGCATATTTCTGTGAAGTCAAGAGTAGTATGCTTAACTTCCCTTTCCTGGCAAGGGATGTTCTTCTTCACTTTGGTTTGTTTTGCTTCATTCTTGTACGTACAGTGCAAACAAGTCAAGGCTTAATATGCTTCTTTATAACAAGCAATATCAAGATCATTACTACATTTACTTATTCAGAATTAATGCCTCATATTTTTACTCTAGTTTTTTCACTTCTGAGTATTTATCTCTATTTAATTTATCTCAGGTATGTGCTGCAAACAAGACCAGGCAATATTGAGGTTATTCAGCGAGTTAGTTTAAATCCCTAACGTTGACATCATTTTGGTGAAAGGTCAGATTCCCCCCCCCCCCCCCTTCCCTCTTTATACTAAGTTTGTTTGTAAGTCCTCCAAAATGTGTTTGTTCTGCTTTTCATATGCTTCATGCGGAGATGACATATTCATGTGAATATTTATTTGCATGAAACGTTTTTGCTTGTCTACATTAGGTATGAAATACGTTGTAAAACAGTTCCTAAGGTGTATAGCATATCTGCTTTTCTCGATGACTAGGAATAATGGCTTATCCGTTATACCACGTCCCAGTTTGGACTTATATTTCTACTGTTCCTTTCTGTTTCAACACTCATTTTTTATTTTATTTTTGTACTTTCAAATCAGGAATATATATGGCGTCCTAACTCCTAGTTCCATCCATCAACATTACTTTTTCTGGTTTGAGAGTTTTGTACTTTTACTTGACTTTCACTTTTTACAATTAATAAATTTAACTTTTAATATTCACTTTATATTACGTGGACTTAACCTTAAGAGTTATCTTTTTTATAACTATACTTTTGGCCTGAGTTATGTGCGAGTGTTGACCAACCATCATGAAGCTTTATTTTCTGTTGTTTCTTCCACCTATGGGATTACACCGAGTATGTTGTCTCTTCCACCTATATGCTATGTTTAAATTATTTTTAGTTGCATCAACAAGCCTTATTTTACACTCAGAACCTTGTTGTACAATATTTTTGTTCCTCGTCTCTGCCTTTTGATGTCTATGGTTAGTTCCAAGCTTGTTCTTCCCCCTTATGCTTGTCTTCCTCTTTCCATGCGTTCTTTACTTTTGGGTTTTGGCTGTAGTGTAATATCTCTGAAGCGTTTTGGTATGGGTGCTGATCGTATATTGCATGTTTATAAAAGTCTCAGATATTATTTGTGAAGATGTTTGTAGCTTTGATTTTCCTTGCATTTGTCATAACTTGTCTTTTACACCTCGGAACTAACAACAAAAGATATTTGAAAATGAACTCCTTATGGAAAGCAGTTCCAAATTGAACTTCAAATGACCTACTCCCTTGTCCCAAACTGAATATCTTCCTTTATCAGTAAAAATCATCCTAAAACGATGCGCGTCTTCTGGAAAAGGATTTTTCACCATTATTTGTAACCGTAAGACCCCCAAATTATTTGGGACTGAGGTGTGTTTGTTGTTGATTTTACCTCAAAGAATTTGGGACTGAGGTGTGTTTGTTGTTTGATTTTACCTCAAAGAAATAGTTATGTGGAACCCACCTTTATTATTCCAAAAAACAACCTTTCTCTTTTTTGTTCCTATCTATTCCTTAATAACAAAATAGCCACCAACATACAATTACGAATTGTATATCGAGTCAGACTTGGACATTTAATTTGGTCATAGAGCTTATTAGGTATCCTTTTTATAATTTGGATAAGAATCAGAAGTGATGTTTATTTTTCATTTCTTTTTTTTTTCCCTAAGTTGCAATTTTGACTTCTCAGGTTAGAATGGCATCGTCAGCTGACTCATGGATGCGTGAATTTAATGAAGCATCCAAACTTGCGGATGAAGTCAGTTCTATGATTTCTGCGAAGAGCTCTTTGCCCTCTTCCGGACCTGAATCACAACGCCATTTATCTGCAGCTCGGCGGAAGATCACTATATTAAGGACAAGGCTTGATACTCTCCAGTCCCTACTGCAAACGCTTCCAAGCAAGCAGCCTTTGTAAGAAAACTGCATAAAGACTTCTATGTGGGTTTTAATGATAGTATATAAAATTGGCTTTCAATTTAATATGATTTCTTTCTAAAGTACTCACTGTTAAACCGAAAGATGGCAAATTAAGGTTTTCATGCTGCTTCAAATATTTACTTCAACATTTGTGATCCTTGGCAACATTTCGTGTTAGTTATTCAGTTGGCAAGAATGTTTTTGAATGTGTAAAAGGTGGATGTAATTAATGTCTTGAAGCTTGTTACCACATAATGAAAATTCTTCTCTGTGTATTGTCTAACAATTGTTGCAAGCTGTGATAGATTGAAATGATTCTTTACTTGTAAACAGATCAAAAAAGGAGATGAAACGTCGTCATGACATGCTTGATAATATGATTACGAAAGCTAATCAGATGGCATCTACACTCAACATGAATAACCTTGCAAATAGGGATAGCTTGCTCGGCCCAGAAACTAAGCGACCTGATGTTATCAGTAGGGCGACTGGTCTTGACAACCAGGATCTTGTAGGTTTTCAACGACAAGTTATAAAAGGTATGTCCCTCATACACTAGGAATCGACATGCTCTTTCTTGTTTCTTTTGAAAAACGTAGTTGATGTGGTTGTCTTTTGATTTATATTTAAAACAGAGCAGGACGAGGATCTTGATAAATTGGAGGAGACAGTAGTAAGCACTAAACATGTCGCCTTAGCAATCAATGAAGAGCTCAACCTACATACTGCACTACTGGTAGGTGTTGTAACTGTAAAAACTTTCAGTATTTGACCTTGAATACATCTTTATCACCACGGGGTTACCATGTTTAGCAGTGTTAACGTTTATCTGATATGCAGGATAACTTAGATTACCATGTTGATACAACAAACTCCCGTCTTCAGGTATTGCTTGTTTTCAATATGCTTCAAATCGACTTTTTGCTTTTGTCTGCGTTGTGTCTTTTAGAAGTGAAACTCTCTGATTTTGTCGCGCCCAAGCTAATGTGATTTTCATTGTCCTTCTAAACAGAGGGTGCAAAGGAAATTGGCATTTTTGAATAAGCGCACCAAAGGTGGCTGTACTTGGTTGTGCCTATTGATCATATTCATCGTTATTCTAGCCGTTGCCATCTTCCTACTGGTAAAGTACTTGTGATGATCCACAACGTTAAAAGTTTCATCCGATTCTTCTTCTATCGTTCATTGTTGGCTATACAAGAGAAGCCAATATGTTGCATTCCTCTTGCAACTTCTTCATTCAGCTTCAGAAGTTCTCGCTATAGAAGGACTACAGATTTGTCCTGCATTCGTTATGAAAGTATGTGTTATGTATATCTTGTGTTTTTCGCGTAACGTTAAAGAGCTTTTAATTTCAGAAGAAAGAAAACTCAGCCATGGATATACCTGTGGTGATTGTAAGAGAGACAAGTCTTGTGAACACTTCAAGTTTATAGTGCAATGCATTTTCAGGCTTATTTAGCAATTTTACTTCAAAACTATATCACTTGGCAATAATGCCTTTGAATGTGTAAGGATCTTAATCCATACTAACATCAATGGATCGTAGCAAGGAACCTTGATTTCAGTTCTCGTCACCTCATTAAATCTCATAGCAAGAAACTTGAGTCGAGGCATTGCAATCGAGCAAAGAAGTAATCAAAATGAGGGATGAATTCACTTCATTGGTATTTGGTTTGTAGTCCATTTTGGGACCTATAGTCAATAGAAACATTGAATTTGGGTCTACAATAAGCGAACACGACTATACGAGCATAATTAAATCTCGCTATGCTAGTCATTTCTTTACTACAATCTTTTACTGTTGTGATTGACTTTCAATAATAAAAAGATTCAAAAGATGATTTACTAAACACATGAAATAGATAGCGAGACAAACTTGTTCCTTCAGCTGATTGAATCTCAGTTCGGATTTAAAATTTATCAAAACTAAAATAAATATAGAAACTTAAATTGCGAAATCAGAAGTTCGTAATATTTTATATAAAATTAATACCTATAACTATAAATTTTGAACAAGCACCTACATAATTAGTTCAATTGAGTTTATTTTTTAAAATTTAAAATCAAAATTAATTATTAAATTGAAGTAAAAAATAAATAAGTTTATCATTTTCTTTTTATTTTCAATTTCCTTTTATTGGTTTTGGGCCGGATAGTCCATATCTTGAACCGACCCTCGAAAACTTTTTATATTCAATAAATATATAATCGCATTTTGCTTTTTCCCCCAAATTCCCTAAAACCTCACTTCACATCGCCGGCGACGAACACTTCAGGTATTCTTCTTTTCCGTTCTGTATATTGAAATTGAAATCTCTAGATTTGGTTATATTGTTATTAGATTTGATATTGATTTGATATTTTGTTCAATTTTCCAGCTTGTTTGGTGGTATATATCTTCAGTTAGGGTTAGGTTAGGGATTTTGAAGTTTTCGAGTGTTGTGGGGGATAGTTGATTGAAGCATATTGTAGAAATGGATGATGAGATTCAGAAAACGCAAGAGGAGAGGAAGAAGATGGAGCAACAGCTCGCTTCTATGAATACGGTGACTTTTGATACTGAATTCTATAGTTCGAATAAATTTGAGGGTTATGAGAAATCTATTCCGGTGAATGATGATGATGATACTTTTGATACGGAGAATGAGGTTGCTAGAAAGATGGCGTCTTTCACTGCGCCAAAACAGTTTTTTAAGGAGGTTCCACGGGGTGCAGGGGAAGAGGATGAGCCCAGTGGGTTTAATAAGCCGAGTAAGATTATTGATAGGGAGGATGATTATAGGAGGAGGAGGTTGAATAGGGTCATTTCTCCTGAGAGGAATGATCCTTTTTTGGATAAGACTCCTGGGCCGGAAGTGAGGACTTATGCGGATGTTATGAGGGAGGAGGCCTTGAAAAGGCAGAAGGAAGAGTTGATGAAGGAGATTGCGAAGAAGAAGAAGGAAGAACAGGAAAAAGCAGCAGATAAGAAGGAGGAGGTTGAGAAGCCAGCTCAGAAGAGGAGGAATAGGTGGGACCAATCGCAGGATGAGGGTGGTGCGAAGAAGGCGAAAGCTGGTTCAGATTGGGACCAGCCGGACTCGACACCTGGGATTGGAAGGTGGGATGCAACTCCCACCCCCGGCAGGGTCGGTGATGCAACACCCTCTGTCAAGAAGAATAGATGGGATGAGACACCTACACCTGGTAGGGTTGCTGATTCTGATGCTACCCCTGCTGGTGGTGCTACTCCAGGTGCAACCCCAGCTGGTATGTCTTGGGATGCTACACCAAAGCTTGCAGGTCTTGCTACCCCCACGCCTAAAAGACAGAGGTCAAGATGGGATGAGACTCCAGCGACTATGGGAAGTGCAACTCCCATGTCAGGTGCTACCCCGGCAGCAGCTTATACACCGGGTGTTACTCCTGTTGGGGGTGTTGAACTAGCTACACCAACCCCTGGTGCCATTAATTTGCGTGGCCCGGTTACTCCTGAACAATACAATTTGATGAGGTGGGAGAAGGACATTGAAGAGAGAAATCGACCCTTAACTGATGAGGAGCTTGACTCTATGTTTCCTCAGGAAGGTTATAAGATTTTGGATCCTCCAGCGTCCTATGTTCCCATTAGAACACCTGCCAGGAAGCTTCTTGCCACACCAACTCCTATAGGGACTCCTCTGTATGCTATTCCAGAGGAAAATCGGGGTCAACAGTTTGATGTACCAAAAGAAATGCCAGGTGGTTTGCCATTTATGAAGCCCGAGGATTACCAATATTTTGGTTCTTTGTTGAATGAGGAAGATGAAGAGGAGTTGTCTCCCGATGAACAGAAGGAGCGAAAAATTATGAAGCTTTTGCTCAAGGTTAAAAATGGGACTCCACCTCAGAGGAAAACTGCTTTGAGACAGCTCACTGATAAGGCCAGAGAATTTGGTGCTGGGCCCTTATTCAATCGGATTCTGCCATTGCTCATGCAGCCTACACTGGAAGACCAAGAAAGGCATTTGCTTGTTAAGGTTATTGACAGGGTACTGTATAAGTTGGATGAATTGGTTCGCCCATATGTCCACAAGATTCTTGTCGTGATTGAACCTCTGTTGATTGATGAAGATTATTATGCTCGTGTCGAAGGGAGGGAAATCATATCTAATCTTAGTAAGGCAGCTGGTTTGGCGACTATGATTGCTGCCATGCGTCCAGATATTGACAACATTGATGAATATGTCAGGAACACAACTGCTCGAGCTTTCAGCGTTGTTGCATCTGCGCTTGGTATTCCTGCTCTGCTGCCATTCTTGAAAGCAGTTTGTCAGAGTAAGAAATCTTGGCAGGCTCGTCATACAGGTATTAAGATTGTTCAGCAGATTGCTATTCTTATTGGTTGTGCTGTTCTTCCACATTTGAGGTCTCTGGTGGAAATTATTGAACATGGTCTTAATGATGAGAACCAGAAGGTTAGGACCATTACAGCTCTTTCTCTGGCTGCTCTTGCTGAAGCTGCTGCACCATATGGTATTGAGAGTTTTGATTCTGTTTTGAAGCCCTTATGGAAGGGTATTAGATCACATCGTGGCAAGGTTTTGGCTGCCTTTTTAAAGGCTATAGGTTTCATCATTCCTCTTATGGATGCTGTATATGCCAGTTACTATACCAAAGAAGTTATGGTTGTCCTTATTCGTGAGTTTCAATCACCTGACGAGGAGATGAAAAAAATTGTGCTGAAAGTGGTGAAGCAGTGCGTCAGTACAGAAGGTGTGGAGCCAGATTACATTCGACAAGACATTCTTCCGGAATTCTTCAGAAACTTTTGGGTTAGAAGAATGGCTTTGGACCGCAGAAACTACAAGCAACTAGTTGAAACCACTGTGGAGATAGCAAACAAAGTTGGTGTTGCTGATATAGTTGGGAGAATTGTTGAAGACTTGAAAGATGAGAGTGAACCATACAGGAGAATGGTCATGGAGACTATTGAGAAGGTGGTTGCAAATCTTGGTGCATCTGATATTGATTCTCGACTAGAAGAGCTGTTAATTGATGGTATCCTTTATGCCTTCCAAGAGCAAACCAGTGATGATGCCAATGTGATGCTTAACGGATTTGGTGCTGTTGTAAATGCCCTTGGCCAGAGAGTTAAGCCATACCTTCCTCAAATTTGTGGTACTATAAAATGGCGACTGAACAACAAGAGTGCCAAGGTGAGACAGCAAGCTGCAGATCTGATATCCAGAATTGCAGTAGTTATGAAGCAGTGTGGGGAAGAACAATTAATGGGCCATCTTGGTGTTGTCTTGTACGAGTACTTGGGAGAAGAATACCCAGAGGTTTTAGGATCTATACTGGGGGCTCTCAAGGCTATTGTGAATGTTATTGGTATGACTAAAATGACTCCTCCAATTAAGGACTTGCTTCCTCGGTTGACCCCTATTTTGAAGAATCGTCATGAGAAAGTCCAGGAGAATTGTATCGACCTAGTTGGTCGAATTGCAGACCGTGGTGCTGAATTTGTTCCTGCAAGGGAGTGGATGAGAATTTGTTTTGAGCTTCTTGAGATGCTTAAAGCACACAAGAAAGGTATCCGTCGAGCCACAGTGAATACATTTGGGTATATTGCTAAAGCGATTGGACCTCAGGATGTGCTTGCAACATTGTTGAACAATCTTAAGGTGCAGGAACGTCAGAACCGTGTCTGTACCACTGTCGCTATTGCTATTGTTGCAGAAACCTGTTCTCCCTTTACAGTCTTGCCTGCCTTGATGAACGAATATCGCGTGCCTGAGCTTAATGTCCAGAATGGTGTCTTGAAATCCCTCTCCTTCCTTTTCGAGTACATTGGAGAAATGGGCAAGGATTATATATATGCTGTAACTCCATTACTGGAAGATGCTCTTATGGACAGAGATCTAGTACACAGGCAGACTGCTGCCTCTGCTGTGAAGCACATGGCTCTTGGTGTTGCTGGTCTTGGATGTGAGGATGCACTTGTCCACCTTTTGAACTATGTCTGGCCAAACATTTTCGAGACGTCTCCACATGTGATCAACGCAGTCATGGAAGCCATCGAAGGAATGAGGGTCGCACTAGGAGCAGCCGTAGTCCTCAACTATTGTCTCCAGGGATTGTTCCATCCAGCAAGGAAGGTTCGAGAAGTTTACTGGAAGATATACAACTCCCTCTATATCGGCGCCCAAGATGCCCTTGTAGCTTCTTATCCTATTCTGGAAGACGATGAAAACAATGTCTACAGTAGGCCTGAGCTGAACATGTTCATTTAGATATTTCCCTCTTATATCTGCTTTGCCATTTTTTTACGCGTTTTCGTATTCCAGCACGATGAAGTAGCGTAGCGTCTCTTGTTTTCAACTACACTTGTGATGTATCTTATATTCTATTGTTCCCCGTTTTCCCTTTTTAAACACATTTGCTTAGCTTTGTATGAAGTGTTTTTGGGTTGTGTGTTGATTTTGGTTGATGTAAGGCTGATTTTGTCTTGCAAACTTTTCATGCACAATATGACATATTGAGGATTACATAATTTGCCACCCAAGAGGTGTGGGTGGCATAATAATTAGATATTTCGAATTTGAAATTAGAAAATATAAAAACTCTCGATAGTATTTTCTTTTTTCAAATATCATATAACATCACGATTTAAGTATGAGTAGATTGTTTTTATATATAATCATAATATTTGAGTTAATCTCCACACATATAATTAATTTTACGATATATTGTTATCTTTTACTAACACAAATATCTAAATAACATATTTCTCCTATACCTCAACTAAATATCAATCCTTTATCCCTATTTCAAATTATTTGTAGTATTATTTTTATATACAGTTCTTTTTAAAAGATATTAATTAGGAGTTGTTTCGATAAATCTATCTATCTTTTAAAATTACGATAAATAATTTGAGACGGGTGCCATATTGAGTCATGGGTATTACAAATTTGTTTATTCTTCTATATATGTTGCTGTAAAATAGTCTTCTTATCCAGAAAAACCAAACTCAAAACTGGAGAGATGGCTCTCCTTATCTTCACTGCAACAACTCCCTCTGTTCTCCTCTCATCTCAATCTTCCTCTACTTCACAAGCTTCTGCATTCCCTGCTTCGTTATGTAAGTATTGTTGCTTAATATTCTTTGAAGGATTACTCTCTAACTGTAATAATCTGTGTGTTGTTTGGGATTTTGATTTGGGGGTAGTTCTTGAAAAGAGTTTTTATAATGATTTGGAGTTCTGGGTCACTTTGGTTAATCGGTATATGGTATTGAAATTTGGTTCTTTTTTTATGGGGTTTTCAATTTAAGGTGTTTGAGCTGGGTTTTGGGTTTTTTTGAATTCTGAAAGTTTTGGAATTTTATGTGTGTGGTTTGGGATGGCTATCTTTTTTGCTGATTTGGGTATCAAAAAGGAAAATGTGAGGTTTTTGTTGTCATGTTTTCGTTGCTCGTTGATGTTAGCATTGTTGCTCAATATTCTCGAATGGATGCTCTGTATGAGGGACTGCTGTGTGATTTGAGATTTTGAGTTCGGGGGTTATTCATGAGACATTGTTAAGGGATTTTGAGTTCTGGGTTTTGCTTTAAATTAGTTTAATTCCATTGTAGTAGACTCTGTGTTGTCCTTTGGTTACTTGGTGTATGTTGTAGAAATTTCTGTTCTTTTTGCTAGAGGGTTTGAATTTAGGTGTTCAAGCTGGATCTTTTTTCCCATTTGGGTGTCAAAAAGGAACATGTGAGGCTTTTGTTATCATGTTTGTGTTGCTTGCCTGCTTAGCATTCTCGAGTGAGTACTCTGCAAGTGTGGTCTTTGTATTGTTTGAGATTTTATTTCGGGGTAATTGTTAAAACTTTGTTAAGGGATTTCGAGTTCTGGGTTTTGCTTTGAGTTAGTGTAATTCCTTTGGACTAGACTATGTGTTGTTCTTTGGTTACTTGGTATAAGTTGTAGAAATTTCTGTTCTTTTCGCTAGAGGGTTTGAATTTAGGTGTTCAAGCAGGTTTTTTATCCCCATTTGGGTGCCAAAAAGGAACATGTGAAGCTTCTGTTATCATGTTTTGTTTAGAGAACCCTTGATTTGGCTTAATTGAAATGAACCTGAATAGAGCAAATGGGTACAGAGGATTCGTGTAGCTGAACCCAACTAATTTGGAGTTGAGGAAGTTGATTGGGGAGCTGGCAGGGTGGGGGGGAGGTGGATCAGGACCTTCATTTTCATTATATTTGATTTTAATTCGTCCTTCACGATTTGAGGTTAATATGTGCCTTCTATGTGATTCCGGTTGATCAAGTTTATCCCTTTTCTATTTATTCACTGTTCTTTGTGGTATTCCATCATTAGTATATTCATTTCTGTGCACACACTGCACTTGACTATTCTAAACATAGGATATTCATTGATCTCTTGATTCGACAAATTAAAATAGTGGACTCTAAAATTTTGAAGTCTCCCTCTTTTTTCTGCCATTTCGAATAAATGATACGAATTGTGTGCTCAATTGCCTTCTTGGTTGTTCATATGACCACACTCTAAAAGGTTCTGAATGTTGTGATCTATTTTGTATTAGCCTCCAGGTTCTGCAACAATCACTTTACCCTGACACCTAAGTCTTATGCCAATGGTTATATTCAAGCACCTTTTATCTTCCAAAGGAGAGGTGCATTGATTGCTACAGCGGCTGCAGACATTGATAGTGTCGGTTCAGATAATCCTGAGCCTTCACCAGAAAAAAAGGAGGAAAGTGTGCCTGTTGAGAATCTCCCTCTGGAGTCTAAGCTTCAAGAGAAGCTTGAACAGAAGATGAAGATGAAATTGGCAAAAAAGCTTAGACTACGGAGGAAGAGACTCGTTAGGAAGCGCCACCTAAGGAAGAAAGGACGATGGCCACCTTCAAAGATGAAGAAGAACAAGAATGTCTAAACTTAACCTGAAATGCCTTGCAAGTGTCTCGTTTTTTCTCGTAGTCTTTATAATATCGAAATACTGTAATCTCTGAGATCATTTTCTTCAACCTGTACCTGATACCTTATGAAATTGATTAGATTTTTTCCCGATTTGTTTCTTGTTTTTTGATGGAATATATTAGGTTTTGAACTATCTTTTATGTTGATTCGTAATGTTACAGTCATTCTTCATTTGCTGTTGTGGAGTTCTCTTTTGCTGCCTGAGCCTTCTGCTTTGTTTTGGAGGCTATGTATGATCGATTGGAGGTTCTAGCTGAAAGATGGCTTCAGCTTGATGGTCTCCACTCCCTTCTGTTCCTAAGTTTATGATGTTTTAGCTTGTTGAAAAGTTCTATGGATAAAATGAGTACTCTCTCTTTTCTGTTTATCCTTCTCATTGTCACCACTAAACTAAGGGGACAAAAGAAGCTGAATTTTCATGCAGTCTGTAATGTGTCAATAAGTCTCCAACAGGTTTGGTGATCTGAGGGTATTAGACATTGGAATATCCTGTTATACACATCGATCGATGTGGAAATTGGTACTAACTGTCCCAAGAACATTGGTCTAGTGGTAAGAACACAGTGCGCGCACCAAAACCTAGTTATTTAAGCAGGGAAGGATAGAGGGGCAGATTGTCTTCTGGTTCTTGATGCATATTGCATTTTGCAGGATATATCTTAACTCCAAGTCCAGTTATTCAATTATGGGCTGACAGTAACAAATCTGTGGATCCTCAAGTTATATAAGCTAACAACTTTAGTCCAGGCCTATATAATATGCACATGTGTGAAAATGATTTAAGAAAAAGAGACCAAAGTGGAATCTGTCATATTAAGAAATTTTGATAAATTTGACTGATGTGGAGAATAAAAAGCAAAAAGGAGCAACTCCACTTACTACTTCAGTGCATTTTTGGTCAAATCAAAGCACAAAATGTCATCCAGTTTGTGGTTGACATTATTTGCTTTCAAGTGCCCACATATCAGCCACATCAATGGCTAGATTGAGTGTTGCTGTTATCTAACCTTCACTATTTCTGAAACTTTCTGGGGATTTTTTTGAGCATGATTTTCACATAACTTGTCATAATATTCTTTTCTGTGAACACACAGCGATTTAGCTATGAAACTCGCAAAACAATGAAGAGTCTGCTTAAGTAGGCTGTAAAGAGAAGCTAACTAATCAAATATACAAAGGCTACCGGGTGTAATAGCTGAGGGTGAGACAAGCATTAAATATGGCTAATTTTACATACATTTTGCCAAAAGACAAGCAGGCCATGAGAAAAAAAAAGTTACATTTCTCAGTATAGTCCCAACTCAAGTCTGACGGACAAATAGTCAGACTAGAGTGTCACCCCTAAGAATATTGAATTTGCAGAGGGGACAGGTTGCATTGATCCTTAGCCATTTGCTAATGCATCCATTGTGAAAATGATGATTGCAGGGAAGAACACACAGCTCTGCCCCTTCTACATATTTGTAAAGGCAGATGCAGCATTCCTGCGTAGACAAAACAATATTCACATAAAAAGTTAGCCTCTATGGTAAAAAGATGATATAAAGGAAGTTTTGATATATGACGACGATTATCCTTGTGCAAGCTCTGCTTATATCGCCAGTTAGAAGTTTGAATAAAGCAGGAGATGGTAGGTTAGACTACTATGACACAGAAACAACAGTTGATATCAGAAGCTAAAATTTTGGGGTTTTGTTTCGGAAGCATGATGAGAAATTGGTAAAAGGGAGAATAACAGTCTGATGCACAGGATATGCAAGAACTTTTTAGATGAATTCAGAACATAAAGAAACTCGCATGTTTACGTTTAGAGAAAACTACACACTGTAGTGCCCGCGCCAAATATATCTGAGAAAATCCAGATTCCTTCATTCAATGATCTCGAACCAACTCATTGTAGAATTTCCATTTTCAGTTACTTCAAAAGATTCCCTCGATTACAATGGAACTTTTCTCTCCTCTCAATGTTTATGTTTCCAGTTTCCAAATTTTGATTCTTCCTCTGTTTCTAATAATAGTTTACAGAGTGTACTTATAACATACTCAATGTGATTCCCACAAGTGGGGTGTACGCAGACCTTACCTCTACCTTGTGTGAGGTAGAGAGGTTGATTCCGATAGACCCTCGACTCAAGAACAGTGAGGAAAAAAGATTATAATGGAGGATAAAGTGGGAGGTCATGCTTACAGAATCATCTGGTTTAAGAGCAAGCTCAGGTACAGAGGCACTACTATTGAGCTGTGATATTGAGTGATCTTCTCCTGTCTTCATTTTTACAAGGTTCCCTGAAGTATTTAGTTGGCCATATCTATACTTGGGAAGAGTCTTGATATCATTTTCAGATGCTCCATCTCCAAGTCTCATGGCATATGCAACTGTTGCGATAAATGGAAAAAAGCAAAAGAATGCGAAGAAGACTACAATTCCCATCGCAATGCAAAAGATCATAAAGAACACATCAAATGCTAGGAAAACAACTGATAACCTGCAAAATTAAGAATAGTTTTATTTAAGCTATTAAACATACCACATACACATTCATATGTTATAAAGAAAGGCCAATAAAACTAGTATAGTACCCATACACCGAATTAACGATCACCACTTAATTTCTTCAGCTGCATATATCTAAGGAACCTTCCATTTATTCAAGCTCACACCTCGTATATTTTCCCAACAACAACATACCCAATGTAACTCCACAGGTTGGGGGTGGGGGGATTGGGATAGGTCTAGAGAGTATGCAGACCTCACCCCTCCCTCATGGAGGCAGAGAGATAGTTCCGTATATTTTCTCAATTTTCCTTTTTTCTTTTTCATTTGCTTTGCGGGGATGGGAAAAAGGGGAAATCATGGCTCACAGTCGTTATTATGAAGGTAAAACTTCAAATTCTAGAAGCATAGCTCATACCAGTAAAGGCGAGGTGAATCTTGCAGAAGTTCCTGGCCACCCATAACAATCCAATAAAAGCCAAATACCCACCAGATTGATGAAATCACAGTATTGACTGATTCCAACCTCTTCATGATGCTGCTAGAAAAATAACACAATGTAAAGTTTAAATTCATAACCTTCATCATTTAAGAATGATAACATCATCACACTCAAATTACCAAAGTTCTATCAAAGTATTAAGCGCTTTAGTCTCGAGTTCCAGGACTAAGACAGAGAATAATATCTGTATGACTGGACTGAAAGGGGCTAGGATGTGAAGTAGGCATTGAAATTGAACCATACGTAATTTTGAGAAAGGAAAGAATTTCTCATTTCTTTCCCTTCCTTGAGCTTTAAGTACAACAAACTAATTGATTTCTTATTCTTTTAACTTCTTAATCGTTTTTATTTTTGAGGTGAGATGGAATGGTTGTTGGAGCAAACAACACAAGCTTGGGCGTATTGATATGTCATGTAAACAACCGAGACCTGAATTTTAATTCAGTATTAGTCCTTGAAAGGTTGGGACCCAAATGTTCATATTACGAGTAACACTCCACTAATGCGGTCCAGCACAACATATCAACTCTATGGAAACTATCAATTCCTAAGATGTTCAAGACCTGGTCAATTTAAACAAGTCTATGAAGGAGGTTGGTGTCTGCTACAACGCAAACACAAGAAGATACAAAGACTCAATTTAATCAAGATGCTAACATAAGGGCAATAGTGCAGTCCAGTGATTAGATCAACTTACTCAGAAGAAATATCAAAAGATCAGGGGAGTGAAGAGAGGGGAGGTGAAGCCTCCAATTTCACCATGCTACTTTGACTAGTTGAGTTCTTGAGGTTTGTTGACATAACTATACATGAACACTATTTTACGCAAGTACAATGATATCTTCTTAGCGAAGTTAAAGAAAGAAGTCCCTTAAATGCATTTGTTAGAGTTATCGACTTACCGTTGATGAGATATATCAACAAATCAACTATGTCTCAATCCTAAACTAGTCTAAGTCGGCTATATGAATCCACTATATTAAGTTGTGCTTTATTGAGATCCAGCTCACTCCTACAAATAATTTGTTTTCAGAGGCAAATTAGGGATTCTAAAACTAGAGGATCTAAGTCCCACTTATCCATAAATGGACAAACAAGCTATTAACTATGGGATATCTCCAGCAAACTTGATCATTTGAGAAAAGGTCCCTAGAGGATCTTAAGTTATTTTTGTGCATGTGTGATGAATCCTGACCTCTCCTATATTAGCTAAAACTTTTCGGAGCGGATGGACATTGCTTTACTACAGAGATGAATCAGAAAGATGCGAAAATACTAAATGCAGTTACTCTCATTTGATACTCTTAAGAAATAAGTATGATTTCTTAGGAAGACCAACTAAAGCCCATAAAACTTCTCAATACATGCTTATATAATCTACATGCTTGTCTTCACTTCAAATATCTGGACATTGCTCAGAAGAGATCCAACAAAGCCAGTACATAGACTGCTATAGGAGCTTTACACTTCCAGTGACATGAACAGAATGGCTCCACCCCACGACCATCACTCCGTGAATTGTCTCATGGCACCACAAAGCATAGAGAAACAACTCTAGTTTAAGGACATCTGAAAATAAATTGCTACTAGATTTGGTTTTCAATCTACCCGTAAAGCAGACAACTTTTATACAAAAGCCATGTTAAGGTGATTAACTTTTACATATCCAAGAACTAGAAGCTAGACTTCATTTATCAAATAAATTCATTGCTTTAAAAGAATTTACACACAATACTAGAGGCTACACTTATTTCAAGTGGATCATTAAAATGAAGCGAAGCACTGTTAAATTTCTGTCTTTTGATACAATTACTCCTAGATAGACATCACCCAAGATATACATGTAATATGTACCACCAAAAAGATGGGATCTTTTTTGTGATTGTTCATAAGAATCTTGCAATAAAAACTTATACTTTTTGAGTAACAAAATGCTACACATCTTTGTTAAAGGCATGCTATGTTGCTGTCCCTGTTGTTATTCTTTGCAAGTCAGTAAACTAGGAACACTATGAGTCTATGATGACCAAGTTTTAGGACAAAGATTGATTGAAATCAGAAACCCAAAGAGGGAGAAAAGGACAAATACAATAA